GACTGCAACTGTTCCCAAGCTTGTTGAGCTCTGAGCCAGCTGTCTTTGGTTGGGCTTCCTGGGAACGTTGTCTGAAATAGGGATTCTTGTGAAGTGGTTTACTGGGGGAGTGCTCTCAGCAAAGCAGAATAAAAGGGAGAGATGCAAAACAAGGATGTGGCCTCTGTTAGAGGCTAGCCCCTGACTTGTCCCACAGCAAGCTCTGGTCTGTCCTGGAGAAATGGGGCCAGGCTTTTACCTCCCGGTCAGTTGGTCATTGACTGCTGAGTGCAATGTGGGGGAAGGAGAGGAAGCAGTGGGGGAGAAAGTTGGGGAGTTAGATAGGGAGGTGAAGGGCCATGACTCAGAAAAGGTGGCTTCCATTTGGTCAAAGGGAAATTCTCCCAAAAGGGGGACAACTATGAGCCATTAGCAGCCAATATTCACAGCACTTCATGGGCGGGGACCTGGGAGGAACATCAGCACATTCGCTGTAACAGCTTCATGCCTGTCAGTGAAGAGCTTTTTATTAATAGTTCTCCTTACATTTCCTTGCTCCCCACTCTTCCCAATCCCCTGAGGCTCAGAAACAGTGCCCATGCGCTATAATAGGCCTGGCTAGAGTTAGGGTATAAGTCTTCACTTTGAATGAAATGGAATGCTTTGACTATCACATAGGAATGAACATTTTTAAATGTTTTACTTTAATATTATACACATATAGAAAAGGACACATATCACAAGCATACAGCTCAATAAGTGTTCGCAGACCACACCTGTGTGACAATCCCCACCATCAATAAAGAGAAATTCACCAGCAACCCAGATGCCTTCACACTCCTTTCCTGTCACTCTCCTCTCACCTCTGCCACATGATAACTGATAGAGTAATTGTCTAACAGCACACATTCATTTTGCCTGTTTGTAGTTTTTCTATAAATGGAATCTTACAATATGTACACTTCTGTGACTGGCTTCTTTCAACATTATGTTTATGAGAGTCATCCATATTTTTGCACATTCTCGTAGATTACACCTTCTATGTATAGTATTCATTTGAATGACTGTACCTAAATTTATTTATCCATTCCACTGCTGATAGAAATTTGAGTAGTTTGCAGTTTGGAGTTATCACATATAGTGTGAAAATTTTAATACATGGCATGTAGTAAATCTGTGTACACATTTCTGTACATAGGCCCTGGGATTAACAGACTCATAGGCACCTTGGAGTTAATAAGATCATTTTCGATTATTTATATGTGTGTGTGCATGTGTGTGTATTTTAGTAAATACTGCCCAACAATTTTCAAACGTGGCTGTAACATTTATAATCCCACCAGCAGTGATGAGAGTTCTAGTTGCTTTAGACCCTTGTTAATGCTCGGTATTTTCTGTCTTGTTCATTTTAGCTAGCACTGGATATTGTTAATTACTGAACGGAGCTTATGTATGACATAAGTGCTTGAGTGCTTGCAGTTGCGTAAGAGTGATCAGAATGGTCTGAAAGTCTTTCTGCATTTTCATATGAGGACAAAGGAAGGCCTGTCTGCAAACAAGCAAGTTTAAAGGGACTAGGAGAAACAAAAGCAAAGTTATTTTTATAATTATGTGCTTGTAAGTCCTTCCATTCGGCCTACTGGTAACATTGAGACAATGTCATCATCCTCTTCCTCATCATTGTTATTTATGTTATTTTAATTTTATTTTTATTACTATTGATTTTTACCAAAGCACGGAGACTTTCTATGAAAGATGATGAAATTTTTGTACTCTTGAGCTTCCTTGTCTTGATGAAACCTAGGATTTTGACATATCTGAAGCTCAAGTTTATAACTAATGCTTTCACTCTCAAACTGATATCAAAAATCATTTCTTACTACCACGGGGGCTAGGAGGATAGTTTTCATAACAGATAAAGACAAGAACTAGATCATTATCTCCTTGCTCGTCATGGGAAAGAGAAGAGATAAAAGAAAAAAAAGATTTTTTTCAAACTCCTTCACACCCATCTCACCTCCCCTTCCCCATTTCCCAAAGGAACACACACAAAATAGCTCATTCCCTGATCTCCACTTAGGAGACCAGCCTGGACAAAGTGTTTCCCTCCAGGACACACATAGGTCCTCCTTTGTAAGAAGTGGGGCACACACACCACTGCTGGACAACATGGGCCTTCAAGATAATTGGTCCCTGGATGGTTTTCTGGAAAGCAAACCAAGTCTTTTGTTATTTTGTCCCACATTTTTGTCCAGCCAGTTGTTTTTTGAGAGAGTAAGGGGTATAAGGAAGTTGGGTCACTGAGGAAGGCTCTTGTTTGGGGAATTTTCACCAAACATGTCATTTTCTAATTGGGGCTATTTGCTGTGGTCTTTCTGCCTGACTGTCTGCTTCCAGTGAAGGTTATAATTAACAAACAGCAGCAGTGTTTCCATCCCAAACTCATCCTGTGGTTTCTCTGACTCATCCTAATGAACTATGGCCCCTCGAAGTGAAGGTTATTATTTTTTTTCCTTCCTGAAAAATACATTGCGGTGATGGCCGTAATTGAAACTGCTGAATGGTAAAATGCAATTTGTTGCTCATTTTTTAAAAAATGTTATATTAAAAAGCAGAAGAGGTGAAGTCAAATGCTGTTTATCTGTATGCTGTGTATGTACTCATGTATTTTATTTGAGACCTTTATTTTTAAAATTGTAACAATATTGGTGGCCATATGGCAAAATTACCCAAATGTTTAATTGAAAAGAGACTAATTGTCATGCAAATATATTACTGCCAGACAAGCTAACAAGAATAATGAAAAATGAAGTACATTAGAGGATACCTGGAAATGTTGATTTTGTGATACAGGAAAGTGGCTGAAAGAGTTCTTACTGGGGAGGGAGTGATTTATCCTATTTAGCTTAAGTGGAAGTGAGGAATGCCAAAGGTTTGTAATAGCCTCTGTGGTTCTCTTTACTAGTATAACTCCTGCTCAGAAGGGCTTATCTGTGACAGGATGAGTTTTTACTTAAAGGGACAGTGGCTGGCTGCTTGCCATTCACTAAAGATTCCACCACACCTGGAAGAAGAAGAGAAATACACCTCCTACTATTCAAACCTTGGGGAAATTCTCTGCTTCTCAGATGAGCAGAAGTCAGATTGGGAAGGGACCTTGAGGAAAATGTACCTGGAAGCATTTCAGAAGGAAAGGGGGCTTTCTTCAGAGACAGCACCAGGAAAACAGGCATAGACTTGGATGCTGAGCAAATCACCCAGGATCTCCTAAATATATTTGTGTCTGACCACAAGCCTACTGAAACAGAGCCTGCAGGGTAAGGCCAAGGCCCTGTGATTCTGATGTGCACCCACATTTGAGAATCAGTGATTCTAGTTAAACTCCTTCGTTTCAGAGTCCAGGTCTGTAAGATTCAAGAAAGTAAATTCCTCACCAGGGATCAGCAAGTGGTTAGTGACAAGGGAGTGTCTATGACTGCCTTCTGGGTGCTTTTCTTGCCTTAGGTCCTGTGATGGTTAATATTGAGTGTCAACTTGATTGGATTGAAGGATGCAAAGTACTGATCCTGGGAGTGTCTGTGAGGGTATCACCAAAGGAGATTAACATATGAGTCCGTGGGCTGGGAGAGGCAGACCCACCCTCAGTCTGAGTGGGCACCATGTACTCAGCCACCAGCATGGCTAAAATATAAAGCAGGCAGAGCGTGAAAAGACTAGACTGGCCTAGTTTCCCAGCCTACATCTTTCTCCCATGTGGATGCTTCCTGCCCTCGAACATCCAACTCCAAGTTCTTCGGTTTTAGGACTCGGACTGGCTTTCCTTGCTCCTCAGCTTGCAGATTGCCTGTTGTGGGACCCTGTGATTATGTGAGTTAATACTAAATAAACTCCCCTTTATATGTATATCTGTATGTATATTACATACATATTATATGTACATTTAATAGATTATATGTACATTTAACAGATTATATGTACATATAATATACATTTATATGTATATTAGTTCTGTTCCTCTAGAGAACCCTGACTAACACAAATCCCTTACCTTCAAAAGGTTGTCTGGGCTAGGGGTGATGGCTCATGTCTATGATCTCAGCACTTTGGGAAGCCAAGGTGGGTGGGTTGACTGAGCCCAGGAGCTTGAGACTAGCTGGGGCAACATGGTGAAACCCTGCCTCTCCAAAAAAAGTAAAAATAAAAAATTAGCCAGGCATGGTGGTGTGCACCAGTAGTCCCAGCTACTGAGGAGGTTAAGGCAGGAGGATTGCTTGAGCCCAGAAATTGAGGCTGTGGTGAGCTGTGATCTGGAGTGCCACTGCTCTCCATCCTGGGCAACAGAGCCAGACCCTGTCTCAACAACAACAACAACAACAAAACCAAGATTGTCTGCTGTGTGACAAGGAGTTTACCTCTCCGAACTTCATTGTCCCCATTTGTAAAATAAGGATAATAAGAACTACCAAATGAAGATTTCAAAAAAACATAATGAAAGGTTTTGAAAATTATAAAAGCAAGGTAAACAGAAAGTATTACTCTTATTATTTATACCAATAGTCTCATGTTTATACAAATTATATGGGCATACATAGGAATCCCAGAAAAAAAGAGCAATTAAAAAGTCTATCAGCACACAAGATCCCTTAAAGCATTCGCGTCTCCCCAGAAAACACATAAGCAGGACTTCAGGAGACAATTAATGTAAGCCCTAGAGGGACTGGGCTAGGGACCTACCAAATTATTCCCTTAGCTGTTGATCACTTTTTTGCCTCCTTCACCCTAACCCTCAGGCTACTTTGGTTTGTTGTTCTGTTTAGTAATTTAATGATGGTTAAAGCTGCTGTGATCACTCATCCATCCTGAGCCTCTCCCACTTCATATTGTAAGCTCCCTGGAAATGAGACCACTTTCTCAATTCTTCAGAAAACTGCCCACCCCTAACATAATATCCCATGAATGATGGATGATTAATAAGTGATTCTAGAAACATGGAGCTAGAAGAAGACTCTGAGATCCATTCATTCAATAGTTTAACAAGTTTTTATTGAGTGTCCATGATGCACCAGACACTTTTCTAGGATCTGAGATTAAGGAGGCGATCAAGAAAAAAGCTGTCCCCTGCCCCCTGATGCTCAGTTTCTAGTGGGTGAGAGAGTCAATCTATAAATCAGTAAAGAAAGCATAAATAAATGAAGCATTGGGTAATGCTAAGGGTTATGAAACAAACGGCAGCAGGATCAAGAGCTGAGAGTTGGGGAACATAGGTTGGTTTAGCCAGTAATGTCTCTGGGAAGGGGAACACTGGAGCACAATCTGAGTGGGCTGAGGACTGGGTCACACGGTGATTCAGGGGTAAAACAGTCCAAGTAGAGGGAACAGAAGTGCCATGCCCTAAGACAGAAGTGAGCTTGGTGCATTACAGTGACAGTGCAGAACCCAGGGCAGAGGTAAGATGCCCAAGACAGGCAGGAAGGCTGACAGCCAAAATAAGATGCTGGAGTTGACTCCCAGAGTGAAGGGATGCAGTCATCCAAGGGTGTTGAGGCAGGAGGTGAACAAATGTGACGCACTTTTAACATTAGTCTAACTGCCATGGTGAATAAGAGTGGAAGTAGAAAACCAGTCTGGACGTTTTTGCGGAGAGGAATGATGGTGGTTTTGATGCGGGCGGAGGTAGCAAGTCAGGTCATAGCTGAAAGGGGACTCTAATATTTGTAGAATGTCTCCAAGGGTCAGAGATGCTTTCTTGTGCTCCTCAGAAGAGCTCAGGGCTGCAAGGAGTTGTGGAAGGGAAGGTCCAGGGGTCTCCAGCATCTGGCTCCTACCCAAACAGTTCAGCCTCACCTGCCTCACCATGGGCCTTCCCAGCAGCCCTACCCCATGCATCTGGCTCTGTTGACGAGTCATTTGTTAACACCCTGCCCTTCTGTGCCACATCATTTTTAGTAATAATCATGAATGAAAAGAATACTAATAATGACCTAGGAGGAAACAGAGAAAATTTGCTTTCAGTCAATTTCACATATAGAAAATCATGCTCTTAAATAAGAAAATAAAATTAAAGTATGAGAGAAAATAAATATTACAGTACAAAAAGGGAGAAAAAGCACAGCTATTTCTTCAAAAGTTTTATACTTACCTAACAGTTTTGAAATGTGATTCTTTGGTTGCAGTGGAATATAATAATATGTCATATAAATGACTCTCCAGTAACTAATAAGAACATTTAAATAAAACAGAAGTGTCTATAAAGAGCACAATTTAGATGACTAGCTATACTGCTGATGTAATGCTGTTTGTTTTTTCTAGCTTTGCTCTTCAGTTTTAAAACAATAATATTTTAAAAAGAATAAATTTAAGTTTTGCAGATACTATCCCATTTTAGTAAGTTATTTCATAGTTTAAACTCACATGAATATGTATAGACATATGAACACATATATAGATATTACACCTTACAGTTTATAGTGTTTCAATGTTTTAAAATTTTAAACAAATAAAAATTCCAAGTGGTCACAAAGAATGGCAATATATGCAAATGTAGCTCTATTTCTTCTCTCTGTTCATTGCACAATTGTTATTTATTTTGAAACTACTGTTTAAATGCAGGAAAATGTAGTTCTGCAGGGCCTGGAGACAGGAGCTGCACTAGGAGTGCTTGAAGGATTCTAAACAATTACAAACTCACTGACAAGCAAACACGTTCAGGGAAATGTGTGATGGGGTGGCTGCCTAACTGTGAGCTTTTCAAATAAACCTCCATGTAAATTACAACGTTTTTTAAAGGATAATTAATAAACTAGGATATGTTTAAGTTTATATATTATGAAAACTCAGCAGCAGCCACAGAAATTGTTGAGAACTCAGACCAGCAAAATATTTTTTGGTAGGGTATTTTGTCACTGAGTGATCAAAAGTAACAGGCAGACTTTCGATGAGTTTTAGGGGTTTTGAATTTCCTACCAACAATGCATCCCCCTTCTTGCCTGAATCTAGGGTAGAAGGCTGCCAGTGCTCAGTGGGTGTTATGCCACCAGTTCTAAGTAAGGTGTCCTTGGCATTGCCCTGGGCACGAAGAGTCAGAAAACCTCCATCTAGCCCAGTCCTCTTGCCCACATGAGGAACCTGAGGTCAGGTGGCTTATATGACTCTCAGGGTGAGATGCATTCACGGAAGGAAACCAGAGCAAGGGCCTCCAGGCCTCTGGAGGAGGGAAGGTGCCGGGGGAGGTCCGTGATTACATGACTTGGAACACAGCAGGTTCTGCTCATGCAGGCAGGGCACCCTCAGCATATCCCCAGGGCCCAGGCAATAATAGAAAGAGGGACGCTGAGCCTGAGGCTATGGAGAGGTGGACAGCACAGGTCCAGTCTAGACAGAGCCACAACTCAGCTTTGACCAATAGTCGCTATGCAGGAAAGCAGACAAGTGATGCCAAGTCTTCTGCTTTTTCTAGACAAACCAAAGAATCTTTCTCCTTCTTTGGCACAAAATCTCCAGAGTTTTATATTTTGGCAAATAATTTAAATTACTTGAACAGAAGCAAGAAGGGAGGGAGGGAAAGAGGGAGGAAGGTAGTAGGGGGAGAGAGAAAGAAAACCCCTAGGCCCGCCGCCTCTGCATGCTGGGTGTGGCCAGGCACTGCAGCCTCACCACCTCTGTGCTGATAGTTAGCTACCAGACAAACACAGGTTTAGTCTGCAGCTCCTACATCAAAGGGTAGTGACGTCTCCTTAGGTAGTGGAAAGTTGTGCAAAAGGCAAATAAATCTCAGGCCCCCAAATCACTCAAGCCCAACTGCTTAGGGCAAATCTGCCTCCCATTCTATTTCAAAGTCACCCCTATGCTCACTGAGATAAACGCACATCTGATTGCTTCATTTGGAGAGGCTGATCAGAAGCTCAAAAGAATGCAACCATTTGTCTCTTACCTACCTATGACCTGGGCGCCCCTGCTCCACTTGGAGTTGTCCCTCCTTTGCCTCAAGTTGTCCCACCTTTTTGGACTGAACCATTGTACATCTTACACATATTGACTGGTGTCTCATATCTCCCTACAATGTATAAAGCCAAGCTGTGCCCCGACCACCTTGGGCACATGTCGTCAGGACCTCCTGAGGCTGTGTGACAGGTGTATGTCCTTAACCTGGCAAAATAAACTTGCTAAATTAACTAAGACCTGTCTAGATTTTCAGGGTTCACAGTTGGAGACTCTATACTCCTTTACTGCACTAGTTTGAGCTCCTTCAGGCCGACACTAGACATTTGGTTCCATGTTGAGGGAAGGGCACAGACCCCTTCATGTCTGAGGAAAGGCGGGTGCTGAGCCTTGCCAGTCTCATCATCCGAGGACTTGTACTCTGCTTCGGTGTCTCGCTCCTGCTGTCTCTGCCATCAGTGACAGACACAGCTAACACTGCGACAGAGCCAGGGAGCTAACAGGCTTACTTCAAGGGGCTAACCTGGGCTGCCAAGAACAATTTCGCCCTATAACCTGTCAGGAGCAGACAAGGCTGCTGGAAGCTCGTGTAACTTTTCATCACATGCCATTTTGAAATAACTCTGTTCCACGGGGAAAACCTTCAACAGACTTTTCTTTGTAAACAGACTTGATGATAAAGACATGCTAAGTCCTAAAACCCAGAGGCTGTCAAGGATTTTACAATCTACCAATTTTGTCTTATCTCCTGGGCACTGTGGAGTTGAACAGAAACTAGAACTAAGTGCTAAATTCACTAGACATCTGCCAGCATCCGTCCATCACAAATGGGAGGGCCTCCTTGCCAAGTGGGCCACTCTCTCTGGTATAGAGAAAGATTGAAAGTTGTTATGAATGTTACCTAAAGATGTCAAAAAGAACTGGGTTACACATGTTTCCGTTTTCTGCTCTTACCTTCTCAGAAGTGAAATGCAGAAGCACACCTATTGATCATCTAAATTTTTAAAAAATGATAATTCACACACACATTTGTACTCAGAAGTCCAGGCAAAGAAAGATCAACATGTTTAGAACACTTACCTTCAGGCAGTGGAGTAAGAAATAATATATTTTTTCTTTTTGTATAGTTGTATTTTATAAAAGTTCTATGATGGATATTTATTACTTTAATCATAAGGGGAAAAGCAATCAATAAAAACTATGAAAGAATGAGCATTCATGGTATATTAGTCTGCCAGGGCTGCCATAACTAAGTACCACAAACAGAGTGGCTTAGAAGAGCAGACATTTATTCTTTTACAATCCTGAAAGCCATAAGTTTGAAATTAAGGTATTGGCAAAGTCGTCCATTCTAGATCCTCTAAGAGAAAATCTATTCTGTGCTTCCCTCCTAACCTGTGGTGGTTGCAGGCAAGCCTTGGTGTTTCTTGACTGATAGGTGCCTCCCTTCAGTCTCTGCCTCATTCCTCACATGGTATTCTATCTGTGTCTCTCTGTGTCTTTATACAGCTCTCTTATAAGGCCCACCCCAATTCGGTATGACCTCGTCTGAACTTACGTCACTAACTTACGTCTGCAGAAACCCTATTTCCAAATCGGGTCATATTCTGAGGTTCTGGGTGGACATAATTTTGGGGATGGTGAAACACTATACAACCCAGTACCTATGCTTACAAAGTAGATGAACACCCCTGCGGATATTTAGATCCCCATTGACCCTGTTAAGCCTTAATTCCTGAAAGTAGAGTTTCAGCTCCCAGGAGCACGTGGCCCACCTCCTCCTCAGTCTCTGCTCTGGATGAGGATTGGGGCCAGTGCAGGACCAAGGGGTATAGACCAACAACATGACCCACAAGGGCCACATCCAGTCCTGGTAGAGCCATGGGCCCCAGAGCCGTGGTGGGGCCCTGGGTGATGCTGAAAATCCTGAGGATCACACGCCTCCCTCACACAGTGTTATGCCTTTGCAAGTGCGTGGGCATGCTCTTAGGATTAACCAATTACAGTGTGAAGTGTGACAGTCACGCATTTTCTCCCTGAGTAGTACTGAAAGTAAAACTCCTGTCATGTGTGAGTCTGAGAAACATGTGATGACAAAAAGATTTCTTGTAGTCAACAAGGTTGGAAATCACCATACTTCATCTTTTTCTAGAGCAGGTTTCTTTTGGGATGAGAAGCTTTTATTGGGATGTAGCGTGTCTTGTGTATTATGTCTTATGTGACAGGCACCATGTACAGCACTTTGGGTCCATGTTTCTCGTAATCTTCAAATCAAACCCAAGAGGCAATCATCCCGTCTTTTAGATGAGGAAACAGGCTCGGAGAGATTAGACAATCACAGAGAGGCCCAAATCACAAAGCTGGGAACCAGCAGAGACGAGATTTGAATTTGAAGGTAAATGTTTCTAAGACTTACACTGTAGTGCTATTGACTGAAGTGTGTTGTTAACACTCTCTTTAGCACTGGTTAAGCCATCAGAGACCTACACCCTGAGACCATGTTGCTGTGCTCCCCACAGAATTTATTGTCATTCAGGAACACATCAGGGCTGTGGCCTCCAGGAGGAACTCTTTAATTGCCTTAGTAAACCCACTTCTTTTTTATGTGCAGATGCCACAGTGAACACCTTCCACTACGTCTCTCTATGCCCAGTGCCTGAAGCCCAGGGGAGACCTTCTTTAGGAGCCAAGTAACAGGAAGAGCTTGGCTCCCTCTAAATAATTGGTGTATTTTCTCCCTACAGGCCAAAGGAATGGGGTAATCATTTGCCCAGGACTGTATTTTCTGTCCTCAAATCTGTCAGCTCAATCATAGTACTCTGGTTTAATTACCTTATAATCTGAATTTCTGCAATAAGATCCCCAGCTTGTACCCCAGGACCTAACCTACTTTTTCAATATTTAATTTTTTTGCCTCAATTTGTTTTAATTGATAACTTATTATTGTATTGTGTATTTTTGCTGATATCCTCCAGATATCTTTTTTGTTTGATTTTTTGGTCTTGTTGTTTTTATATTAGTGTGGTTCTTACGCAGTAGGGGAAAAGGACTGTGGAGTCACTGACCTTTGCCATCTGCTCCTGCCAGCTCCTCTTGCCAGGGCCCCTCCAGCAGGCCAAGTCCCATATCCACCTGCTGGCTGCCCAGAGCTGCACACAGAGGACAAGAGCCCTCTGGCTCATTCGTTGCTCACTCTACTCTTCCATCTTGAAGATTCTTAGGCTTAGGTCCTCAGGACACTGTCTCCAAATGAGTTAATTAAAAAGACAAAAAATATAATTGTCAACAGAGTTCATGAGTTATCCACCCTCAGGTAGCGTATATTTCAACCTAAAACAAAAAAAACAAAAAACAAAAACAAATAAATCAAAAAAAAAACTGCTAGTTTCAACAAAGGCTCCAGATTTCTCTGAAAATATACCTAACTTATGTAGGAAAATATAGAATCTTAGACAGGATACCAGTTGGTCAGTTTAAGAAATGTGAGATTGAGGGGACTGAGCCACCAAGCTCTGCACTTTCTCAAACCGAAGCCAGACCCTCAAGCAGTTGTTAATTTTCAGTTTTTGTCCTTGACTCAGTGGGAACACAAATATTCCAAAATGCAAGACCAGATAAAGTTGTGACAAGACATTAGGGGTTAGACTCCAGTTCCAGTTCAGCTGCAATATACTTACCATTCTCCACCTGTGCAAAGTGCCCTCCTGTTGTGTGAGTGAATTCCAAAGCCACTTTGTGACCTCTTCCAGCAAGGCCAAAACCATCTGGAGTGTAGAAGTGGGAAATGTCCTCTGCTCTGCTCCAAGCACGTGACCTTCTGAGAGTCGGTCATGCCTAAGCCAACACCCACCGCATTCCACCACGTGGTAAGATCCTTCAGACTAAAACACAAAGCCTCATGGTAGCCTGACCTTTCCCAGGTGTTAACACCTGACCTGGCAAAACTAGCAGTGCCCCTGCATTGAAGCAAGCTCCTTAGAAGCCAGCTTACTATGAGCTGAGGTCAAGGAGAGTGACAAGGCCCAGCAGAAATCCTCTGAAGAGCTGAGCAGGTTCGTTGCAAGTAACGGGGAGCCCAAGTGCTAGGGAGCCATCACACAGGGACTCTGCAGCATGGGCATTAGGAAACAGCCTCGTCAGTGCTATTCTGCCCAGGGTCTATCTGTGTCTAAAAGGGACTTGAATCTAGGATAGTGATGAGTGGACCCTACTTTTGCAAACATCATTCTCTCCAACTGATTCCTTTCTAAAAAGGAAAATTGACATTTTTGTCCCCTGAGAACACCCAAAGCAGATACAAAGTCCCCTGTATTAAACAACACTTACAATTCAGATTGTACTGCACAATACCCTCTCACCCAAGCCAAAAGTTTTATACCATTCATTTGTGTAGACATAGCAAAATTATGCAACATGTCATCTTCGCTCAAAATTCACTCTTTCATGAAGCAAGGCTTACAACACTATTAGAATGTACTATACTTCATTCTTTGTTAGTAATAGTTTCAGAGAAAATGTTAGAAGATGAAAGCAAACATCCATTGCAATAGATTTTGCAAGATGTGAGAACAAGAAAATGAAATTAATTTGTACTGTTTGATTGTTTAACTCGGGGAAAACGAAAAGGATCATTAAATTTTTCCTAAGAAAATATATTGGCCCTTGATCTCAGAATTATAAGAAACTCTTATGATAATTTAACCAAAGGTTCTAAGAGACTCAGAACCCTTGAAATTAAACACATGTGCATATGTGTTTTATTATGGGGGACAAACCATATTATTTAATCAGACCCTGAAGGGGGCTTGCCATTGGCCTAGTGCTCAATGCTTTTAGTTTGTGAATGAAAAAAACTGACACTTATAAACATAAATTTATCATAAAATAGTTGCAGAGTTTTGACTAAACTGTGATATTCTTATAGTCTCAATAGCATCGCCAGTTTTAGGAAGTGTTTGAGGACTCTGTGAAAGGTTAGCCACATTTCTGGATTGGCCAATTGGCATTTTTACTAGACAATCGAAGTTGCAACCTTGCAACCAAATTAATGATTATGTAAGCCCTTCAGTCTAATTTCAAAGTCTCTAACACTTAGGAAATTTGCTAAAAATTTGGCACTGCATCATTTGTCTTCATGGGCATTTTCATTAAATTATAAGCAAATGCACATTCCCACGCTGAAAACAGCACAAAGGAGGCCACTCTATACCACTTGGCTCTCTCTGCAAAACTCGCTTTCAATTATCTTGATCCGTATTGAATTCTCCCACCTCCCGTTAGCATCACAGCTTCTAGGAAACACCAGGCACACAAAGCAAGAGCAATTACCACACCATCCCCCAAAACATAAATCAATAGTAACAAATGACCCGGCATTTTCACATTGTTTATCCTAGCCCTTGCCTGGACCACATGGAGTCAAACTTGTTTTTCTTCCTTTATTTTATAAAATTACTGCATATAAACCATCTTTGTCATTAAGTCGGAAGCTGGGGTCTTCATTCACACCTGCTCACCTGCACGATTCTTGAGTTCTCAGAGCAGTAGCACCTCCCTGGACCCGCTTCTCAATGCTTTCCTTTCACCCAGGTTGACCTCTAAAATATGACTGTCTTGAAACATGTGGATCACCACATCAGACTTTTAAAAATCTGTGATAACAGTGGTAGCAAAAACTGCAAACATTCATTGTACTGAGCTATATATCAAGAAATGTGCCGAGCACTTTCACAAAAGTCTCAGCTAATCCTCATAGTTTATGAGATAGAAGATGTTATTTATTTCCATTTTACATAGGAGGAAATAAACTTAGCAACCCAAAGATAATAAGCTTGTAGCACAGATGGAATTTGAATTGAAAGTCAGAGCCCCTTGTCCCCCCCACCCTACTGCTAGCCAATACAAATAACATGAAGTTCTGGGTTAGAATTTCACTCAGATGTGGTTCTTGTTGGAAGTGGGTTGGAAGTGGGTTTTCTAATCAGGAGAACAGATAAACACAGATATATTACAAATTGCCAAGATATATAAAAGTTAGCCATCAGCTACAGGAGAATTTAGCTTGTGACAAGTCTGCATTTAAAAGCCATTGTTAATTGAACATTTACCATGTGTCTGATAAAACCACTGTGATAGGTATTTTTAAGTCATAAAACTAACTCCAATTCTTTACTTCTAGGATGATAATGTCTTCATATTTCAGATACAAACACTGAAGCACAGAAAAGTTAAGTTACTTGCCCTAAGCTATCCAACTAGCAAGCTGGGCCTGAACTTGGATTGCTTCTCATACTTTTCATACTACCTGCCTCCTGTACAACAATGAGTTCTGTTGTTTTACTAATGTGAAATGAGCAATTCTAACTGCCCATAACTCTCCATTAGTGCAGCAGAAGTTGGGGATGTGTTCGCACAGCTATCCACACTTATCTAATCTGCTTCACGGGCAGCATACGTGTATGGAGCCAGGGAGGCTGAGTGCAAAAGGGCATGTACACCAAGGTGTTTTTCTTTCACGTCGTGGTCTTTGGACCAAACTCAGTTACCTGGCCCACCCTGGAACAAATCCCTGATCTCACAAATAACACATGCAATCCAAATGTGCCAAGTGGTAGAAACCCAACTCTTTCAATACCAGTGTTGTTAATCATATAAAGGACCACAAAATAGTGAAAATGATACGGACTTTGGAGTCACACAGACCCACTGGTGTGCCGGTAAATGTTTGTTTTGTTTTGTTTTTCTGATAAATGTTTAACAACCAGCTCTCCAGTGGGGAGGAAGAGAGCTCCGATTCATAGCATTTTCCCATTTCCATAGTGTAAGTACTCCAATCACGGCTCATCTCAAGAAATCAATATGACGTCACTGCACATGGATTTGTAAGAAATGATGATAATAAGTTCTCGGAAGCTGACGCCAGCTCTAGCATACCACTTCCAGTAGACCTTATTCTAATCCCAGCTCCTAATCTAAGACCTGAGGCAAGCCATGTAGCCTTTCTAATTATCCATTTATATTTCTATAAAATCGCAAAGACAATGCCACTAGAAATGATGTCATGATTAAAGGGCTATTAACAGGAGAACAAGATAATTTCTCTCCACTTCCCAAGACAGCTGCACATACAAAGCATCAAAGGGAAGCAAAGGAACACTTTACTATAAACACAACCCATGTCTCTGAATTCAACCAGAAGAATCTTATAAGGCTAGTTGAATCATGTAATCAAGGTTGGAATCCTAAGTGGGGACCTATCCCATCCTGTTCTCCTATTCTAAGTCCAAAGCCACATCCCAGGATCTGTTCACCTCCTACCAAACAGATGAAGAAAAGAGATGGAACAGAAGAGGATGTCTGCAGGTAAGGTTTGACTAGGCCTGCCCTGAGGTAGCAAGACAGAAACTGGTTTAGCAGTATGAGTGCAAGAGAGAGACAAGAGAAAAGCAAGGAAGCCAAGTTTCCAACTCAGCAAAAAAGTGCCAGGCCCTCTTACCCTTCATGTCACCTATAGGGAGAAGCAGAGCAACACCACTATGTTTAATAACCATTTCCATATGCAGGGACTCATCTGCTGGCACCATGGCCCAATCAGCATTCAGCTTGCTTAGGTTAGCACCTGGGAGAGTGGATTTTCTGCCTTTAAAACTGACCCAATTGTCTTTGTATTAGTCCACTTTCACACTGCTGATAAAGACATACATGACACTTGGTAATTTATAAAGGAAAAATGGTTTAATGGACTTATAGTTCCACATGGCTGGGGACTTGCCCCCATGATTCAATTTCCTCCCACCATGTCCCTCCCACAACATATGGGAATTCAAGATGAGATCTGGATGGGGACACAACCAAACCATATCATTCTACCCCTGACCCCTCCCAAATCTCATGTACTCATATTTCAAAACCAATCATGCCTTCCCAAAAGTCCCCCAGAATCTTAACTCATTTCAGCATTAATTTAAAAATCCATAGTCCAAAGTCTCATCCAAGACGAGGCAAGTCCCTTCCACCTATGAGCTTGTAAAATCAAAAGCATGTTAGTTACTTCCTAGATACAGTGGGAGTACAGACATTGGGTAAAAACAGCCATTCCAAATGGGAGAAATTGGCCAAAACAAAGGGGCTACAGGACCCATTCAAGCCCAAAATCCAGCAGGGCAGTCAAATCTTAAAGCTGCAAAATGGTCTCTTTTGACTCCTGGTCTCACATTCAGGTTACACTGATGGAAGAGGTGGGCTCCCATGGTCTTGGGCAGCTCTGTCCCTGTGGTTTTGCAGGGTACAGCCTCCCTCTTGGCCACTTTCATGGGCTAGTGTTGAGTGTCTGTGACTTTCCCAGGTCCATGGTGCAAGCTGCCAGTGGATCTACCATTCTGGGGTCTGAAGGACAGTGACCCTCTTCTCACAGCTCCACTGGTCAGTGCCCCAGTAGGGACTCTGTGTGGGGCTCTGACCCCACATTTCCCTTCTGCACTGCCTAGCAGAGGTTATCCATGAAGGCCCACCCCTGCAGCAAACTTATGCCTGGCATCCAGGCATTTCCATACATCCTTTGAAATCTAAGCAGACATTCCCAAACCTCAATTCTTGACTTCTGTGCACCCACAGGCTCAACACCACATGAAAACTGCCAAGGCTTGGGGTTTCCACCCTCTGAAGCAACAACCTGAGCTGTACCTTGGCCCCTTTTAGTCACAGCTGGAGCAGCTGGGATGCAGGACATCAGGTCCCTAGACTGAACACAGCAGAGGGACCCTGGGCCCAGCAAACAAAACCATTTTTTCCTCCTAAACCTCTGTGCCTGTGATGACAGGGGCTGCTGCAAAGGTCCTTGACATGCCCTGTAGACATTTTCCCCATTGTCTTGGTGATTAACATTTGGCTCTTAGTTACTTATGCAAACTTCTGCAGGCTGCTTGAATCTATCCTCAGAAAATGGAATTTTCTTTTCTATCACATTGTCAGGCTGCAAATTTTCTGAACTTTTATGCTCTATTTCCCTTTTAAAACTAAGTGCCTTTAACAGCACCCAAGTAAACTCTTGAATGTTTTGCTGTTTAAATTTCTTCCACCAGATACCCTAAATCATCTCTCTCAAGTTCAAAGTTCCACAATTCTCTAGGACAGGGGCAAAATGCTGCCAGCCTGTTTTCTAAAACATAGCAAGAGTCACCATTGCTCCAGTTCCCAACAAGTTGCTCATCTCCATCCAAGACCACTTCAGCCTGGATTTCATTGTCCATATCATTATCAGTATTTTGGTCAAAGACATTCAACAAGTCTCTAGAGAGTTCCACACTTTTCTATATTTTCCTATCTTCTTCTGAGCCCTCCAAACTGTTCCAACCTCTGTGTATTATCCAGTCCCAAAGTCACTTCCACATTTTGGGGTATCTTTTCAGCAGTGTCCCACTCCCGGTACCAATTTACTATATTAGTTTGTTTTCATGCTGCTGATAAAGACATACCTGAGACTGGACAATTTATACAGGAAAAAGGGTTTAATGGACTTACAGTTCCACATGGCTGGGGAGGCCTCACAATCATGGCAGAAGGCAAGGAGGAACAAGTCACATCTTACATGGATTGTGGCAGGCAAAGAGAACTTGTGCTGGGAAACTTAGCCTTATAAAGCCATCAGACCTCATGAGGCTTACTCACTATCATGAGCACAGGACAGGAAAGACCTGCCCCCATGTTTCAATTACCTCCCATCATGTGCCTCCCACAACACATGGAAATTCAAAATGAGATATGGGTGGGGATACAGCCAAACCATATGAGTCCCATAGAGTTGATGTTTATGGTTTCTTTGAATAAACATAGAAATTGATCCTCCCAGTTTTAAAACTTGAGGTTATATTTGCTTTATTTGAGTTTATTTCTCAGGAAACCAACCATCAGTGTTCCCAGATAGTATTAAGGAGGTGAAACTCACCAGATCACTGCATTTGGACAATGAGCCATCAGACCCCCTACTGGTCATGGTTGACTAACCAACGACTTGCTCTCTGTTGACCAACTCCTCTTCCTTACTCATCCCTAATTTCTGTTTTCCCAGGCATGGTGACATTTCTTCCCTGCTATATAAGCTGAGACAATAGGTATTAAAGAAGGCTTCAATCAGGTGCTACATAGTAACATTTATATATTTATATAACCATGTAAGAATATAAACATCAAAATGCATTGATTTAGTCAGTCAGGGAGATGGATTTGAGACTGATCTCCCATCTCCTCAGCTGCAGCACCTGATTAAAGCCTTCTTCCTTGGCAAAACTTGTTGTCTCAGTGATAGGCTTTCCTTATGGTGAGCAGCAGTTCTGAAACAGAACCCCTTGTGTTTCAGTAACACCTTTACACTTATGTTGTGTAGTTGCTGGGAAGATTAAATGACATGAAGGTTTTGGCCAAAGTTGTGCTACCCAGCTTTTCTTACCTAAGTGACTCTGAATTAATCTTGGGTATTCAAAAATTAAAAAAAAGAAAATAAGTTAAATCTATTTGTGATTCCATGTAATCTTTATAACCACCTGCCACTCCTCCAGATAGAATCCACCATCGAATAGTGAAGTTGATCTAATATTTTCAAGAGTATTGAAAAGATGTGTTTACTATACACCCAGAAGATAGATCTGAGTGGCTCAGCAAGGGCACTATTGTTGAAATAAGCAGCTTCCCTCCTGAGTTGTCCATTTTGAAGAGGAAAATTCATTTTGATGTTTATGTTCTTATATGGTTATATAAAAGTCAGTAACATTACTATGTAGTAATGACTTTCATTTTTAAATATGAGACACATTATTTCAAAGTCATGAACTGAATTAAACTAAACAAAACATTAAATTACATTCACTCTGCGCTGA